CTGGGTTTCAGGCTTGGTGTCCAGTTCACAGTGAAGCCATTGCAATGGCTAGGCATGCACCTAAGGCCCCAGGGATGGGTCCCCTTCTCTGACAGAGAACCTTGGGGAAATCCCCATGGGCTTCCTTCTCTCTACCAGGCACAGACTTGGCCTCACAGGCAGCTGTAGTTACAGGAAATGTGTAGTAAGAGCAAGAACCCAAGCACAAATTACAGCTTTCAAGCCAGAGGACCAGGCCTGAAGGGTAGGTGGGGGCTGAGGTGCTGAAAATGAGGAGGAGATTGGAAAGAGGACATGGTTCAAGCTATAAATCCCATGAAGTTGTACTGAACACCTAGACCCATGCCATCAGACACGCAGGAGTCTGGGATGGGAAACTGCACACCATGGACTGCTAGTGTAGTTCACCAGCAGCAAGACCCCAAACTGGCCACTGGGTGGCGCACAACGTGTGCAGACCAAAGAGCTCTAGAAAGAAAACTGTCAGGGGACGATGGTTCACAGAAGGCACAGAGAAACTTGAGGCCTGAACCTCAGTGAACTATATGGTAAAACAAGCAAACAATAATACCCTCCACAGGCTTTTATGAGATCCAGAGTCTCATAGCAATAATCCCAATGTCTAGGCTATAATTTAAACCACTGGCTGTACAAATAACCAGAGAAATAAATCTATGTGTGTGTTTGTTGTGTGGGGGGGGCAGGGTGGAATGGGTGTGTGAGTGCTGGTACTGAGGCTTGAACTCAGAGCCTCACACTCTTGCTTGGCTTTTTCACTCAAGGCTGTTGCTCCAGCACTTGAGTCTTGCTTCCAGTTTCAGTATTTTGCTGGTTAATTAGAGCTGAGTCTCTTGGATTTGTCTGCCTGGGCTGGCTCTGAACAGTAGTCTTCAGATCCCAGCCTTCAGAGTAGCTAGAATGACTGTGAGCCACTGATGCGCAGTCAGCCAGAGAAACCTTAGTCTCACCGGGAGAAAAGGAAGACACTCAGATGCTGACAAGTCCAAGATGAAGCAAATGTTGGGATGACCAGGCAGTGCTATTACCACGCCCCAAGAACAAACACTTTGAAGTGAAGAGAGACACACAACACACACACATACATACACACTCAATCTTAGTAGAAATATAACTTAGAAATAAACCAATGGAATTTTTTTTAAATCTTGTCTTGGTTTTTGAGATGAGGCCTTGCATGTAACCCTGGCTGGCCTGGAACTCTTCCTGCCCCGCCTCCCGAGGGTGGAGATGCCAGGTACAGTAATGTAAATCTGACCAAAGTTTACATTTACTGGGTAAGCATATCAGAATGAGGGCCGGGAATGTGGCTTCATGGTAGAGTGCTTGCCTAGCCTGCATGAAGCCCTGGGCTCAATTCCTTAGTACCACATAAACAGAAAAAGCCAGAAGTGGCACTGTGGCTCAAGTGGTAGAGTGCTGGCCTTGGGCAAAAGAAGCTCAGGGTCAGTGTTCAGGCCCTGAGTTCAAGCCCCAGGACTGGGAAAGAAAGAAGAAAAAAAGGAAGAGAGAGAGAGAGAGAAAAAGAGAGAAAAGAAAGAAAGAAAGAAGGAAAGAAAGAAAGGAAGGAAGGAAGGAAGGAAGAAAGAGGGGGCTGGGAAGGTGGCTCAGTGGTAGAGCACTTGCCTTGCATGCATGAGGCCCTGGGTTCAATTCCCCAGCACCACATAAGCAAAAAGAAAAAAGCCAGAAGTGGCGCTGTGGCTCAAGTGGTAGAGCGCTAGCCTTGAGCTGAAGAGCTGAGGGACAGCACCCAGGCCCAGAGTTCAGGTCCCATGACCGGACCCCAAAAAGAAAGAAAGACAGAATGAGCCTCAGGAAGCCCCCAGGACAACTCTAGTTTGAAGGACTACAGTGGGAACTGTCCTTCTGAAGGCCAGGACCAAACCAAGTGGCTTTAGTCATACCACCTTAGTACTGTCCAGAGTTGGGGACACTTGCTCTCTGCCACAACTGCACACTCTTCACTGTCTCCTCTAGAGGGCGCTCCCACACAGAGTGTCAGCCGAGTCCCACAGGGAGGGGTGGGAGGAGAACAGTCACTCCTTCAGCGTGGGCTGTCAGAAGGAGGATAGAAGCAGGCAGTACAGGCTCTGCAGCTGGCAGCCAGGGGACATTGACTTCCTCACTGTTTCCCACTCCCCTCTCTGGATGCAGAAACTGATGCTCCTGCAAGATTAAAAGAGCAGAACAAATCCAAGTGCTACTGGCTCACTGCCTGTAATCCTAGCTACTCAGGAAGCTGAGATCTGAGGCTCAGAGATCAAAGCCAGACTGGGCAGAAAACTTTGAGACTTATCTCCAATTAACCACCAAAAAGCTGAAAGTAGAGCTGTGGTTCAAATGATAGAGCACCAATGTTGAGCAGAAAAGCCAAAGGACAGGCCTGGAGTTTAAGCCCCTGTATGGACAAAAAGCAGAACAAAGATTGGAGACAAGGCCAGCAACAGCTCCCATCAGCCTTTCCCTTCCAATTGTTATTTTTTTCAAGAGATATCTCAGATTAAATGCTAAGTACAATGCATGTTACATAGAAATAGAAGCCAGGCGCTGGTGGCTCACGCCTGTAATCCTAGCTACTCAGGAGGCTGAGATCTGAGGATCACAGTTCAAAGCCAGTGCAAGCAGGAAAATCCATGAAACTCTTATCTCCAACAAACACTCAGAAAACCGGAAGTGGTACTGTAGCTCAAGTGGTAGAGTGCTTGCCTTGAGCTGAAGAGCTGAGAGACAGTGCCCAGGCCCAGAGTTCAAGCCCCATGACCGACAAAGAAAAAAGAAAGGAAGGAAGGAAATAGAGTTGGCAATAAGAATAATGAAACAATGAAAGAGAAATGACTACTAGTTTGTCACGTGGACTGGTGCTCTATTCAACAGTCCAACCTACAATTGAGAACTGGTATGGTTCAAGTGGTAGGGTAATTGTCTAGTAAGCACAACAAAAACAAACACACAAAAGAGTCTCATGGACTTTCCTGACCAGGCTGGCTTTGAACTGAGATCCTCAGATCTTGGCCTCTTGAGTAGCTAGGATTACAGGTATGAGCCACCAGTGCTCGGCTATCGCTGAGATTCTTATCTCCAATTAGCCACCAAAAAGCCAGAAGTAGAGCTTTGGCTCAAGTGGTAGGGTGCTAGTCTTGAACAAAAAATGCGCAAGGACAGCACCTAGGTTCTGAGTTCTAGCCCATGTTTAGACATGGCCTCCTTTAGTGCCACCCCTCCTCCCATCCTTTTTTCTGATCCTAGGTGATCCTTGTTTGTCTCTAGATGGTGGGCAAACTTATTCTGAACTTTCCCTGGGCTGAGTCTCCTTAAACACCTATGGCCTTGGGCCAGCAACAATAAATGGACTTCATTTACTCAGCAATGACTACAGAATTTCATTCTTCCGTTTCACGCTCTGAATTTTAGCGAGCATGCAATGCCACATTTTGTCAGTAGGTGGCACTGTGAACACAGAGTGCTCCTGCCCAGGGGTTCTTGATGGAATTCAGGGATAGCCTAGGTAGTTGTGCATGCTGGAGGCACGTTTGTTAGAAGGGCTACCTTACAGCACAGAGGGAAAAGCTACCATCCTGTACTACGATTATCACACAGGAGCAACTGAAGTAAGGAAGGTCAAAAATCTCAGAATAAAGATGGTGCTTAAGGCTTCATCTTTTCACTTCAGACTGGTGAAACTTGACCATAGCTCAGCAGTGGCCCTAGATTAGTTCTAAGTTCTATAATAGTTGACTTGTGACTGTGCATTGGTGGCTCACACCTGTGATCCTGGCTACTCAGGTGGTTGAGATCTGAGGATCATAGTTCAAAGCCAGCCTGGACAGGAAAGTCCTGAGACTTTTTTTTTTTTCGGTCAGTTGTGGGCCTGGACTCTGGGCCTGGGCGCTGTCCCTCAGCTCTTCAGCTTAGGGCAAGCGCTCTACCACTTGAGCCACAGCACCACTTTGGCTTTTTCTGCTTATGTGGTGCTGAGGAATCAAACCCAGGGCCTCATGCATGCAAGGCAAGCATCCTACCACTGAGCCACCTTCCCAGCCCAGTCCTGAGACTTATCTCCAGTTAGCCACCAAAAATCTAGAAGTGAAGCTTTGGCTCAAGTAGTAGAGCATTAGCCTTAAGTAAAACAAACAAACAAAACAAAAACAAAACAAAAACCAAAAAAACCAAAAACTTCAGTGACAGCACCGAGTTCAAGTTGCGCGTGTGCACGCGCGGGCGTACAACTTACCTTGTCTGCTGAGGCCCAGTCAGCAGTACCTACCATCACCCCACACACCCCTTGACCCAGGAGCCCAGTGCTGGCAGCGCATCCTGCTGACAGACTTGCCAGTGGGAAACAGCCCACAGCCATGGCTTATTGCAGCAATGGATGTAATTGCAAAGGACGGGAACAAACAAAACATCCCCTCATCAGAAAAAGTCTGGGTAAGAGAATTAGAGTAACCCAGGCATCCATATAACCCTTAAAAAAAAAAAAAAGCAAGAAGGGGGGGGGGGCCTTTCCCAGTATTACCACAGAACTCTTCAAAACACTCCAAGTTAAAAACAAAAAAACAAGGAAATGGGGATGAAGCAGCCTCTGGGGAGGGAAGTGTGCGGCTGGGGTGGGGCTCTGCGCTCAGCTCTGAGTTTTGAACCCTGTGAATACATTATTCAGAAGAGCAGAATTAGAATGCTTCCACATACTGAAGCCTTCCTTGTTATTAAGGTTTGTGGCTTGGCTCCAGCTAACTGAGCGGCTACACACTGTCCTGCGGTACATCCTGCCTCATAGAAGTCAGTGGAGCAAAACCATGGCCATGTCTACCACAGTGACTAGACCAAGCCAGGTTGGAGAAGCGGGGCTCCCAGCTTGCACTTCTGCCTGCTACCTAGAGGAGGCGTTACAAGACCTGCCCTGGACACGCAGCAGTGACTTGGGAGCTTTGGGGCCTCAAGCAGCTGACCAACAAGGCAAAGAAGCAGACAGGCAGGAGTAAGTTACATAAAATAGAAACTAACTTTATTTCTCTGGAAGAAGCAGATATCCATAGCGGGGGCAACTTTGGCGATGGGCTGGTGGGAAAACATGGAATGGCACAAAAGAAGAGTTGGGGTCGGTCTAACAGGAAGCACTGGTATCTTCCAGGGCAGCTGCCTCCTTGGTCTCCTTCCAACCCTAGGGCCCTGGGCCCTGGTCCCTGCCAGAAAACAGTCTGGCACCCACTCTCTGCTTCCCGAGCCACCTCAGGCTATTTCCAGGAGCAAGAGCAAGAACAGCCAAGCCCCCTAACATGTCCATGGCAAGGCCACAAGTCACCCCAACTGCCTGCCATACATTTCCTAAAAAGGGGCCCATCCCTGCGAAGGGCCCACTGGGTGCTGGCCCACCATTCTGTGTGACCAACACGTCCTCCTGGTCCGGATCAAGCCTGGCTCCTGGTCAGTCTGACGCCCCTGAGCGGGGCCTGGGGCGGGGGGCACTCCAGCTACAGACCAGCCACACCCGGCTCTCAGTGTGCTTCACAGGGCTCTCCCCACCAGCTGGCTGGGACACTGAGGGTGGAACCCGGTGTGCAGGGACAGCGCTGGGGAGTGAGACGGCACGGCGGGGCTCCAGCCCCCTGCCGCCATGGCCTCACTGTCTACTGGGAGCAGCAGGCAGTGGCAGGTCCTCCAGGCCCAAGTGGGAGGCGTCTCCCCACCCTTGTCACATGGACAGGCTCAAGTGATTCCTTCAGGACAGACCTTCGCTCTCCAGACACCTCTCAGCGCCTGTAAGAATAACCAAAAGGTACAGCCATCATTGTGGGCTGGTTAACTGGGCTGTGGATCATCCAGTGTGGCGGGAAGCACTGTCGTCTAGGCGCCATGCAAATGGGTTGGAAACTGGTAGTTCCAGACAATGATTTTAGAACTTACTGTGCAATGATAAGTTATCATGAAAGGTCCTTTTTCTTTCTTTTTTTTTTTTTTCTTTTTGGGTCCGGTTGTGGGGCCTGAACTCTGGGCCTGGGCGCTGTCCCTCAGCTCTTCAGCTCATGGCTAGCGCACTATCACTGAGCCACCTTCCCAGCCCAGGTCCTTTTTCTTTTATTTTCACTGAGTTAATTAAAAGAGTACAACACTATTGTGTACTACAGGGATGATGAAGCCTGTTTCTCTGGACTTATGTACAGGAGAACACATGACCTCCAAGGGCGCTGTGTGCCATCCACCTCATGATACTGGGGGTTTGAACTCAGGGTCTCATGCTTATTAAGCAGGTACTCTGCCATTTGAGCCACACTCGCACCCCATTTTTGCTTTAGTTATTTTGCCTGGGCTTGGCCTCAGGGCAAGGCCTTCCTACTTATAGCCTCATCATTAGTCAGGATCATAGGCATGTACCACCATGCCCACACAGCTTATGGACTGAGATGAGATCTCAATAACATTTTGCCTGGGCTGGCCTTGATCCTCCTGACCTCTGTCCCACACCTCCCAAGCAGCCAAGATCACAGGCACGAGCTTTGCCATTCGGCTCTATATCTTATAATACAAAGTTTCTTAGGAAAGAAGTAATGGATTTTTAAGGGGCAGATAGTACTTTTAACAGACATTTACATTTTAATTCTTACTTTCAATAGAAATAAAAAAAAATAATAACTAGCTGGGTGCTGGTGGCTCACGCCTATAATCCTAGCTACTCAGGAGGCTGTGATCTGAGGATTGCTGTTCAAAGCCAGTCTGGACAGGAAAAGTCTATAAGACGTTTCTCTCCAACAAACCACCAGGAAACCAGAAGTGGCACTGTGGCTCAAGTGGTGGAGCGCTAGCCTTGAGTTGAAGAGCTGAGGGACAGCACTCAGGCCGAGTTCAGGCCCCACAGCCAACAAGAAAAAAAAGGAAAAAAAAGAAACAAAAAAGAGAAGTGTTTAGTAAGTCCTCAGGCCTGCAGTGCTGTTCCAGGCACTGTGGAGGAGTTGGGGAAGTGGCTCTTCCCACCCGGAAGCCAATCCCCTCTTACTGGTTAGCTTATTAGAAAACCAAATGACTAAAAAGGGCTAAATGAGTTCACTTAGGAAAAAACTCTTTCCACTTGGGTCTCCCTGGCCACACACATGCTGGGCTTTCCTACTGTGGCATTGCTAGGGCCGCCCCCTCCTGGGACAGTGTGGCGTTCACTCACTTGTGGTGGGCAGGACCACAGGAACCCAGAAGGTGGCAGCCAGCTTGCTCCAGGTTCCAGTCAAACATTTCCAGCACTTTGTGGCACTCCACCCGTGGCCGTAGACCTAGCCCAAAGAGCTGCTCCACCTGAGGGGCAGAAGATGATGCCATAGGACCCAAGGGCACGGGCCAGGGCAGAAGAGTCAGAGCCAGGGAGTGGGACTGGGAACAGCAGATCAATTCTCAGGGCCCCTGAATGCCAGGAGGTGGTACCTTCAGATACTGGGCAGCCCTCTGCACGCTCCAGCCGTGGCTCTGCAGGGCCGCCTGGCACTCCTCTGTGGTCACCCCATGCACCATGGCCTGTAGCTGGGCACACCCACCCATCAGCACCGCTTGGGCCCATTCCTCTGGGTCCCTTGGGCCCCTGCCCCTCACCTCGAGGCAGGCCTGACACTCACCATCTGGACCTTGTCTGCTGGCCGTCCAGCCTCTGGCCCATCCCCAGGGCAGCCCCTCTGTGGCAGCCGAGCAGTGGCCCTCAGGGCTGGTGGTCGGGCCCCTGGGTTGCTGTTGTTGGTGGAGAAGTTGGCCTTGGGGTCTGGGGAAGCCTGGGGCATTGGCCTAACGGTGGCAGTGGGGGCAGCAGGGGCTGGGGTGTTGGGTGGAGGAAGCAACAGGGGCACAGGCAGGGCAGCTGGCTCTTCGGGGCTCTGCGCCTCACGCAGAAAACGCTGGTAGCGCTCCAGGTAGGGAGGGCGCTCAGGCAGCAGATAGTAGTGCGTGTTGCTGACCTTCTTGCCATCTCGGACAATGGGCAAGATGCAGGGACCAGCCCGGGGGCCGGGAGCCTGGCTCACCTGGGGTGCGGCGTACTTGGGGTCTGAGGCAAAGCTCTGGGTGGTAGGCATTGTTTTCCCGGGCGAGCTTGAGAGGCGAAGTGGCAGCGGGGAGCTGCCAGGCAGCACTAGGGGGCTGGGGGTCCTGGAGCCTTGAGGGGACAGGGGCTCCCGGGGCGGTACCCGGGGAGGAGAGGCGGGCCCAGGCCACCGACCTGTCTCTTCCTCACCCATGGGGGCTGGAGAGAGCTCCACACGTGGCCGCGTGGGCCGAGGGGGGATGGGCACCCGGGGGGGCACCTGCGGCTTGTCATCAGTCCCCGGGCTGGGTGAGGGGGCCAGGGAGCCAGTGGGGACCTGCAGCTGTCGCATACACTCCTGCTGTAGGGCCTGGAAAATCTCTGCGGTCTGGGCTGAGTTGGGTGGCTTGCCCCCACCCTGGGGTGGGAGGAACAGGTTGTCCTCCAGGGCAGGGGGCAGCGGTGCCTGCTCGGGCACAAAGGCGTAATTGGTCTCGCCCTGGCTGGGCCCAGCAGGGAGCCCTGCGCCCACCAGGGTGCTGTTGATGGAGCAGACCTCGAAGTCATCCTCGTCTTGAGCCACATCATCATAAGCAGGGGGCGGAGGCAGTGGGCGTGCATCCCAATCCACCACAGGTGTGGGGTGCAGAGGTCGTGGTAATGCTCGCGTGGGGCTCTGAGGTGGTGTCTTGTCCAGCAGGGAGCAGGCATCCATGGCCAGCTGTGCCAGGGAGGGCGCACAGGGCCGCGGCACAGGGACCACAGGCTCCTCGCCAAAGTCGATGAGTGTCACCTCGCTCCCGCTACTTCGACCTGCCTTCGTGCCAGATACGCGGGCAGAGGGCTTTGCTAGCCACAGCCCTCGGGGCAGACCTGGCTTCCGCAAGCCCAGCCTCTTGAAGTCACTGGACAGTGGGTCTTGGTCTTCACTCACAGGATCATAGGTAGGTTCTGTGATTAAAAAAAAAAAGGAGGCCCCAGGGAGGCAGGGTCAGGCAGAAATGGGGGACAAAGCAAAGCAGGGTATAGGAAAGAAAGTAAACAACTCCCTCTAACCCTCTACTGCCAAAGCCCCCACAGGTCAGTCTGAAGCTGCCAAAATGGTCAGTGCACAGCCGACCTCGATTATACAGAAGGCCAGAACCTACTGCCTATCCTGAGTCCTCAGTGTAAGCTAGCCAAGTCCCCACCTCCCACTCCTGCCTGTCTCTGATGCTCCTTCCATCAACACAAGACCCCAACCTTTGCTCCTGGGCCATTAGTAAGCCTTCACCTCCCCTCCATCATGGCACATCATTAGTGCAGGCATGGGAAGTAGGAGCAATCCTCAGAGAGGACTGAACTACTGACCAACTGCAGCCAAAGACTCAGCCTCTGCAGACCCAAAAGGGTGTGAGGCAGGGTCTGGCCCCAGCACATCAAGGTTCAGGTGGGCATCAGGGCCATAAAACCTGTTCCAGAAGCCCGGGCTTCTGAGGGTGTGGAGCGGGGAGGCAGGCATGCCGGGCCAGGTCAGCAGCAAAAGCTCACAGCACACACCGGCTTCCCCTCCCACCCAGTCAGCCAGTGGGGCTCTGTACCTTGCAGGAGGAGAAGAGAATATAGAGGAGAGAGAGGGCGGGAGCAGGGGCCAAGGCGTCCTGAGCAACCCCACTTACTCTGAGTGAAGATGGCAGGCTGAGGTGGGCGAGGTGGAGGCTCCCCTGCAAGAAAGGCCATGCGGACGGGGAGGAGAAGAGAGTAACAGAACAAGATAGAGGACCAGGGAGGGAGACAGAGCCAGACAGACGACAGCAGTTTGGAAAGAGGGAGAGGAAGGGAGAAGGGGAGAGAGAGAGGTGAACAGGAGTGAGCAAATGTAAAACTCAGACTGCAAATGAGAGGCAATGGGGCAGCAGGGTGGGGACAACTGTGTTCCAGAATGAGAGGCACAGGATCGCAGAGGTGGACGAGGCTGCTGGCTGAGATACAGCCTGTGGGGTGGTTTTGGCTCAGGGGAGAAGAGCAGGATTAGGGGGAAGTGAGGAAAGCCAGGATCTGAGCATGATGGTGAGTAAGGAGGGAGGAGGAAGCTGAGGTGGGCTGGGACCATGCAGGACCAACCCGAGGATGCCCTCCTCGGCGGATACAGCTGCCTCTGCTCCCACCCCAGGCCCAGCTGGAGCCAGGGACACAGCTGTCCCACCTGCTGCCCTAACCCAGCTGTCCGCAGAGCAGAAAAGTAACCTCAGGGTGGCCCAAGAAGACATTGCCCCATCCTGGGTAGCCAATGAACCAGAGACACCAAAGGGTGGGAAGACTCTTACTTTTCACTCTTCCTAGATGCTGGGAGGCTCGGGAGGCGCTCAGCTCCACGCTTAGCAGGTCAGGAGGGTCCATAGGGTTCCCCAGATACAGCCTGTGGGGACAGAGCCAAGTCAGAAGGTAGAGCAGAGCAGTGAGGAAACATCTGGCACAAGTGCTCAGCCTTTCCTGGGTGTGCGGTAGAAAGTGAAATCCTGAGTGTGTACAGGGGACAGAGCCATGCTTCTGACTCCTTGCCTCTAGATGCAATTCCTCTGCATGTCTGAACGGTAACCAGGCCATCATAATCAAGTGCAGGGAAAGGACACCTGACCCCAAGCTGAAAAGCCTAGGATTTCAGGGGGTCTCCAACTACACCACAACCACAAAGCTCATCCCTGACAACCCCACAACAGCCCAACCCATGCTAGACACCCACTTGCTAGCCCACTCTCCTCAGCCCTGCAGACTCGGCTAAGAGGCCAGGGACAGAGGCATCCAGGCTCTTGGCCTCTAGGAGGAGGCAGGAGGCACTCTGTTGAACTGCAGAAGGTGAGGATAGCTGGGACGCCTGCCCTGCTCCCCACTCACTCCAGCCCCTGTGCCAACTGTTAGTATCTGGGGCTTAGTCACTGGGGCTGATTAAAGCCCGGAAGAATGGGGCTGGGCTGGCCACAGCATGCCAGGAGTAGGGCAGAGGGCGCCAGCCTCCTGGAGGGGCCTGCATTCTCTTGCTCCAGCTTTCACGGGCCTTCACCTGGTCTGTGGGAGGCAAGGGACCCAGGCCAAACCTTCCAACAGCCTGGTGTTTTGGTGTATGGGGCACAGAAGGTAGGGATCTGGCAGGAGAGCTCCCCAGGGGGCTTCCTTAGGGCAGGTGGGGCATCTAGAAAGTGCCTGGTTCACCACATGCCCTCCAGTGACCAACCTTTTACTTAAAAGGAACTGCGAGGCCCTCCTAAGCAGAGTGAGCTCTGCTGAGGAATGTGGGGTAGAAAGGGACTGTGCCACTTGTGTATAGCCTGTTCACAAGGGCTCCCCTGGTCTGGGAAGCAAGCTCCTCCTGCTTGGGCTGCATACAGATGTGAGCCTTCGTGACTCCACATCTGTGGAGCTCACATCTGTGGAACTCTGGGACCACTGACGAAGCCTTCCTCCTGAGCTGCAAGTCATCTTCCCAGTGTGCCAGGAGTGGTGATGGCTGGAGCCCTGGTGGCTTTTCACCAAAAGAGAACGAGAGACCATCTTGGAACCTTCTGACCCATCTTTCCTACAGTGAAAAGCTATGGATCGGAGTCCCTCAGCCTCATGCTGTGGCAGAGGAAGCACAGGGAGGGAAAAGAGGATGCTGGAGGCTCAGTGAGGACAGCCCAGGACTGCCTCATTCCCAAAGTGGCCTGGCAGTGACAACCAGCTCCCAGTTTAGGATCTGCTCCCTGGCCTCTACACCTCCGCCCTATTCTGTCTCCACATCCTATTCTAGTATGGGGGCTTCTGGAACAGAAAAATGCTAAGAGAAATGAATATATGCAGAGCTAGAGGAACATGGTGAGGGCAAAAGGGAGAGAAAATGCAGCAAGTGACTTGGCTTATTCATGCCTCATACACCCACAGACCTAAGCCAGAGCAAAAGCATCACCACATTCTGCCGCTCCTCTCTGCAGAGCCTGTTTGCAGTGCTGGCTTCTGAGAATTATTAACCCAGCACAGCCTCCAGTGCTACACCAGAGTACTAAGTAAGGCAGATATTGCAGTGAAAAGAACGAACAATGTAATAGTACAGAAAAACCAATTCCATCTTGTATATGAATGAAGTGCCACACAGGAAAAGGATTTCAGAGGACAAACTGTAAGCCCCAGAGTTGGCAGACTGCAGGGAGAGGGAAGTGGCCACATGGAGAGTTGTGCACGTGTGCATGGCTGAAGGACAGGGCTGAGTAGGTATGAGCTTCAAGGTATGGCACAGTGGTGCTCTCTGCAGAGGGACCGCAAGTACCCACCCACAGGAGGGACACAAGATGTCTTCTGCCTGATGGCTTTGCACTATCAGCAAAATTGGGTTAGGAGCTGCCACAGTGAGGTCCGACTCCCACTTGGAAAAACCACGAGACCCATCTTAACCACCCCTTGCACATTAGCCTTGGGAAAGACTTGGGACCAGCCCTTCAGAAGTATTGTTTGTATCCCCTACTTAGAGCAGCACTTTTGTCCGTCATAGGGCCTGGGCACTACGCCTGAACTTTTCTGCTCAAAGCTACCACTTTACCCACTTTGAGCCACAGCTCCATTTCCAGTTTTCTGGTGATTAACTGGAAATAAGAATCTCATGGACTTTCTAGCTTCAAAGTGCAATCCTCAGATCTCAGCCTCCTGAGATGAGCCACCAGTGCTCGGTTTGAGCAGCACTTTCTAATTCAAGTGCACTGAGAAATTTAACCTACTCGGTGGACACACTGGTGAAAAATGGATTCCAGGGGGGAGACAGAGATGAGGATGAGGAGCTGCAAGAACTTGTGTGCGGTTCTGGAAGCCCTGGAAGGGTTCGGTCAGGTCAGTGCCTCTGGGTACTCACTCGTCAATCCTGTCGGGGAAGCCCCAGCAGTGGCGGGGGTCGCTGTCGCCATGTCCCGTGTGGATAAAGCTGTTCTGTAGGGGCTGGCTGATGTCTTGGGCTGACAGGCCAGCCACAGAGGTCACCACGTTGCGAGGGAAGGGCCCCACACACAGTGTCCGTGTGTTCTGCCCACGCCACCAATAGTTCTCAGCTCTATTTGACAGAGAGAACATAATGAACACCAGGTCTAGGAGAGTCCCTGGGAGTGAGACCCTTCTCAGACCAAGATCACCTTGGTCACCGTGGCAGAAAGGGAGTGTGAAGGATAAGGCCTGGGGCAGTCAGTATCCTCCAACCCCCATCAGTACCTCCATGACCTGCCACTCCCTGAACAGGGCCTGGCTGTTTGCTCACAGTCTTCTCCTAAGCTCCCCAGGTGGGTCAGGCAACTTTCTCTACAGCTTACAAATAAGGAAACACGTCCCAACAAGTGACATGTCTTGTCAGAATGATTGCAGCAGACTCGGGGTTCTAACTAGTCATTACCTCTACAGAATCAGTGCCCTTCTCTCAATACCATCTTGCCTGTCTCTTCTGCTGGCAGGCCTGGAGCTGGGCCTCTTCCGACTACCAGATTTACTCTTTTTTTTTTTTTTTGGGGGGGGGATCCGGTTGTGGGGCCTGAACTCTGGGCCTGCGCGCTGTCCCTCAGCTCTTCAGCTCAAGGCTAGCGCTCTACCACTTGAGCCACAGCACCACTTCTGGCTTTTTTCTTTTTGCTTATGTGGTGCTGAGGAATCGAACCCAGGGCCTCAGGCATGCAAGGCAAGCACTCTACCACTGAGCCACCTTCCCAGCCCCAGATTTACTCTTCAACCAGGTTCCAGGAGTAGTAAGAGATGCAGGAGGCAAAGGAAGTACCATGGACTTTAGTACTAGGCTTGGGGCCAAACCTTCCCGTTTCGGTCCACTCCTGCATGTGGACCTTCAAGTTGTGGAGGTGCCTTCCCAGTGCTCCATAGAACAGGACTGCAGAACCACAGCCATTGCTACCCTGCCATTTCCTTGGGATCAGTCGTACTCTTGCATTACAATGAGGAGTGCAGAAGGGAACTCAGAGCTCCTAGTCTGTCTGGACTGTGGGTCTTTCAGTCCTGACTCTGCCCGCAGACAAAAACCCTGTGCTGACACAGTCTAAACTATGATCTAGGCCCAGGCAACAGGCAAAGACCAGAGCAAGAAGGACAGAACTTTCTCCTGAATACTCCATATGCCCCAGGGTTCTGACAGGCTATAAGGCTTTGCCTGACAATGGGGGAGACTATTGGAGGGCTAAGGCACAAATGGTGACAGTCTCATGCTGCTGTGCATTTGTGGCACCAAGCTGCCTGCCCTCAACACCACCTCCTCTTCCTCACTTTATCTGTACCACATCCAGAACCATACAAAGAGCCTCCTCCAAAACACAGCCAGTCAGAGAGCCTGACAGGGATGGAGGAAGAGACCATGTCGGAGCCACCTGAGAAGGTGTTAAGGCCTAGCTGGGGTGGCAGACCATCCTACAGACCCACAGTCAAACCCCATGAGTAAGCAGCCTTTGGGGACACGAAGGACAGGGCAGGGTTCCCATAGTAGCCTCTTGGTAAACAGACCCAGCCCACCACCAGACATAGACACCCTGTCATTACTCCCTGCCTTCAGGGAGGGAAGGGCAGGAAAGGAAGGAAGAAGAGAGTGCAACACCCTGAGATGGGACAAGATCTATCTAAAAATAGCAGAGCTATTCCAAGAAGGAAGAGAAAAGAGCTGTCCATGAAAGCTGTGGGGCAGTAATGTCCTCCTGGCACAATGGACCCTGCTGCTGCTCTCCTTCAACACCACCGGCTGCTCAGTGGCTCCCATCACTCCTCTCAAGAGTGGCATACCCTTTCCTCTTCCCAACAATAGTTCAGTTCCTCGCACAGATGCCTCCTTGGGACTACTTCTGAGAGTAAAAGACACCTGCCCTCATAACAGGCACATCCCAGGCAGAACCCCAGCCGCTTCAGAATCATGCAGCTACTAGAGCATAGGAGTAGATCCAGACCCACTAAAACAGCAGTTTCCCCAGGTAAGACTCAAAGCAAACGTTCCAAGATGACCAATGCTCCGCCTTCCTGCCCACATGTGCTCAGTGGGGCTGAGATGCCCGCAATGCAGAGGGCCTTCCACAGGCCTGCTCCTGCTCTAGCCATGCTGTCTCCTTGCCATGAACAGACCAGAGTCTCCATGGCAAAAGCAGTGACAGCAGTCACTGGATGCAATGACAAAAGTAGACAGCCACAACAAGGAGGCCCAGGGGGAGTCAGAAGAGGGCCCAGAAATTCCAGTGTGAACTTCCTACTTTCTACTGTTCTTAGGCCTCCTGGCAAAGGCTCTGGAATAAAGAGAACAGAAAAGGCTGCCTGGGCTGAGAATTGCTCCTAAGGCTACCCTTTGTTCCTGCCCTCACTAATGTCGTCCAAGAATGACTGAATAATGATGCTACCTAAACATATGGCGAAGAACCCTCACACACACCAAGCCCCATCTCTGTGTCCAGGGGCCCCTGGCTGGAGGGACATCCCAGATACCTGATTCCTTCCTCTCTCGCTGCAACAGAGAGCAGAGGTTCCAGGGCCCAGCAAGCCCAAGAACTTGCAAATGGACTTAAAACTCTGGCTCCCAATACCACTTCTACAAAAACAACACAAAAAGGTAGCTAGCCGCACCTCCTCCAAAGAAGGCCCTTCAGGAAAGATTGTCACTTGTCTTTCTGAATGTGGACAGGACATCCTCAGCTCAGTTCATAAATACACTGCCTGGTTCTATGAGCAGCACTGAACCTACAGAATCGGTCAGAGCTGAAAACAAGTGGATGCCCAGGCTCTAGTCTAGGAAACATACCAAAGACAGCTTCAGCAAGAAGGAATCAAGAAAAGAGCACAGATAAGGAGAAAGCCAAGAGCCAGAGAAAAGAGACCCACATGGATAAACTCAGACCCAAGCAAGCAAGAATAGAGCCTGATCTCCTGGAGACATGGAGACAGACTGAGGCAAACAAACAGAGCTATCCAGGGACTGAGAAGGCAGAGGAAAGCTCTAGTACCACCGACACACAGGCCCACTCCTGAAGCCTCACCGGCTGTTGTGGCCTCCTTCCCCTTACCTCCCACCTTCTGAGCAGCTCCAGGGACAGAGGGCAGACACGGTGGAGGAGGAGCCCTGTGAGCTGAACCACTGGAGCAACAGCCAGTGGTAGAAGCAGCAGCCTGGGGCTAACGAGTGCCCATGGTGGAAGGGTGGGACAAGGCACACCCACAACTGCCTCCCAGGAAGAACTGTTCCCCTGGCACCTCCAGGACACAGAACGCTAGACACACACAGAGAGAGAGAGAGAGAGAGAGAGAGAGAGAGAGAGAGAGAGAGAGAGAGAGAAGCTCCCACCCCAAAGGAACACAGGCTCCCTTGAAAGCAGGAGATGGGGGCTGGTAAAGACCTAAGGCTATAAGAGCCATAAGAGAGCTGGTTAGGTCTGAGGCAATCTGGCCCAGAGGCAGGAATGGCTACAGATCCAGACTTCTAGCATAAGGATCTGCTGGGTATCTCTGGAGGAGAGGCCTCCCTTAACCTGCCTCTGTCCAGACTTCCCCCGAGCTTTGCACCATGTCTCCAGCCCCGTTCCTAGCCTTTCCACTCCAAACTCACACAGGCTGTTCATTGTTGTCTCTAACTCCCTCCCTCTACCACCACCAAATTCCCAAGCACACCCACCCTCTGCAACCTGCTAGAATGCTATTCCTGTCCCTTGTCATTTGGGCCCAATGTGAGGAAGCCCTTGTCTGAGACACACAGGCAAGCGCCACAGTAGTTGCTGTTGAGTTCTACACATGCAGCTTCCAAGGCCCACTCCACCAATGACTCAGAGGCTAGCCCCACTCACTAGCACCCAGGGGGCACAAGATATAACTGAATATCCTCACAGGTATCACAGCCTGGTTCTGAGTCAGAGGAGGGGAGTACAGGGAATTCCCTCTGCCTCACTTTTCTTCCTGGTCGTAACACTCACCCCTTGCCCCAAAGGCATCCCCAGCTGTCCTGCCCCAACCAGTTCCTCCACTACCCTGGGCACTAGAGATAGGAAGTAGAGCCAGCAGAGGGCAGGGCTTAAGGTAGGAACTATGACTGCATTGCGGGAACCTGACTTGGGAGGTGCTGTTTTATGCTAAGACATGCATTTCTAAGCAAGTCAGAGAGAGAGAAGTCCTTACTAGGAGGGACTGAGAAGCAAGGATGAAAGTGGGAAGCTCAAGACTGGGAAGCCCTAGAAAGAAGATGTGAGGCTCAGCAGGAAAGATGGAACTCTGACAAAAAGATGGACCTGAGTGGGCTGTTTTGGGGTTCTCAAAGGTATCCAACAAGTAGTCAAGAGTTCATATACTGGATATTTGGGGGACAGAGAGGATGAGAAGAGGAATGCTCAGGAATTCTAGTGTTTCTGCAGCTCCAGAGCTAGGCTGGGCTTCTACCTACTCTTCACAATGGCAGCCTGGCCCTATCCACACAGGCAAGGCTGAAGCCCAGTAGGAGAAGGTAATAGGTATGTTAGGCAGGGAAAATCCCATCTGGACAGCAGTGGGTCTTGACTCCAGGCTCTCAGGAGCCTGACCAAGGCCTGTCACTCCTCACTCTGATGACACTGGTCCTTCCCATGGCAGCTTGTGGGCTGCTGTGAGAATCTTACAGGTAGAAGAGATCTCTGTTTCAGGGACCCCAGTACAGAGCAGGGCCCTACCTTCCCTCAATGACAGTGATGACATCATTCATCTGGATGTGCAGCTTGTCTGGTTCCTCAAAGTCCTGAAGGGCACGCATGTCGGTGGGCTGGGCCTGAGGGCAAAGACAGGTCACTGACCTTCCAGGACTAAGCCTCAGGCGGCCCCTTGCTTAGACCTTACCAGCTCCTGGGGGTAGACATGCCTCTCACCTCCAGCAAGAAATCCCGAAGGGCCACAAATGTGGGTCTGTCCTCTGGCTTGTGAGCCCAGCACTGGACCATGACATTGTAGATATCCTGAGGGCAGTCTTCGGGCCGAGGCAGGCGCTCCCCCTCCTTATCAATCTTATGCAGAATCTGCCGTGGAGAGGTGCAGTTACAGTTCAGCTCTTACCTTCTCTCTGGCCATCTTACAACTGGGCAGCTGGCTGCATGCTTGTCCTCCAAAGAAAAGATCTTCTCTTGGGGAGGGTCTCACTCTTAGCTCTTTAGACTCTTATTTGTCACATGTGGGGCCTCAGAACAGGTAGATAACAAGTGGAAAGGGCACCAAGAGTCAGGACCCCTGACTCACCAGGGTAACCTATCTTTACTCAGCTTTCCACAGGTCATGAAGACATTGGGAATATGGGAGATGGGAATCCACCAAATGAAAGTAAGCTCACACAAGGCCAGCTTGGGAACCAGGGATGGAATTACCCCTACCCACCAACAGGCAGTACATCCCCAGCCTGCTCACCTGACTACCATTGAGGCCAATCCAGGGCTCCTGGCCATAGGTGAACATCTCCCACAATGTGACTCCAAACATCCAGGTATCGCTGGCATGGGAAAAAGTCCGTGTCTTCAGGCTTTCAGGGGCACACCTAACAGAAGCAAGAGTCAGAGAAGGCCTCTCAAGGACTTCCCACCTGCTTTAGCCCCCAGTGGATATAAACTAATCATTCAACAAGCATTTACTGTTGCCCTGTTTGCCAGGCATTATTGAGGGCCATGGTGAGGAGCAAAAGGGGCAAGACTTCTTGACTACATGGTGTACAGCCTTGCAGAATATCATCTACACTCAGGTCCCTTATGCAGCCGGGATGGGAAGAGAAAGGAGGAGTTTCTCAGCCAAAGAGCAGGAAGAGGAAGATCAGAAGGCTTCAGGACAGAAGAGATAGACTGTTCTCTATCTAGTATAAGGATGACAATTCCAGATTTGGGGAAGATCTCAGGATTTGGGTCATTTCAGCAGGAAGGTGTGGGTGGGAATTTCAGACAGGGCCTGAGGAAGAACCAAAATACAAGGAAATGGTCTCACTAGTTTTCCCCCAAATCCACCCATACTTGCTGTGGTTTTTCCATCTGAGTGAACGAAGAAATGTTACTACAGTAATGCTAGAAAGGTCTCCCCAAAGGTGGATTGAATGCAGAGTGAGGAGTGAGCATCCTGAATCCAATCAAAGGATCTATCATGCCACTCAAAAGGGACTGGCTCAGGCCAGTCACTCAAGATCCCTAAGCCACATTCTCCACATCTTTGAAATGGGAACAATAACCTGTGCACTCCATAGGGTTGTTTTAATAGGCTATAATAAAAAGAAAAGTGCTGGGGCTGGGAAGGTGGCTCAGTGGTAGAGCGCTTGCCTTGCATGCCTGAGGCCCTGGGTTCGATTCCTCAGCACCACATAAACAAAAAGAAAAAAGCCGGAAGTGGCACTGTGGCTCAAGTGGTAGAGTGCTAGCCTTGAGCTGAAGAGCTGAGGGACAGTACCCAGGCCCAGAGTTCAGGCCCCACAACCGGACCCCAAAAAAAAAAAAAAAAAAAAAAAAGAAAAGTGCTCTATACATTACCTTTATAGTGACAAAAAAATCTCAAAAAGAAAAGTGACCTTGTCACTAACCACCCAAACCAGGATGGTTGAATACAAAATATACACTATTAACTACTCTAGGACAACAGGTATGTATAATCAGGCCATATGGTCACTCAGGACATAGTTACCAGTTAGGGTGCACATACATCATAGATAAAGATGTATCTGACACGGGTGGCCACAATAATCTCAGTACAGAATATACTCATACAGGGGCCAGTATGTGGGCCTTGCCTGTCACTAACTTTACCTAGAAAACACTGACCGATCAGTCTTGCCTTGCTACCCTTCTGATATTTTAGAAACTTAGTATTGAGTCCTCCGGAAAGATTTTTCCTCCCTAAGTAAAGATTTTCTTTTCTTTTTCGTTATTAGATTTATTCATTTTTATTAAGTAGTTGAACAAAGGGGTTTCAATTCCAGAAACCAAGTTCTGAGCAGAATGTCCAGGAAGACGTGAAGCCTCACTGAGGAGGGGACTTCCTTTGGAGTCTCTATTTATGCATGTGTCTTCTAGTAACCTCCTTTGAGATTTCCTAGATGGATAAGGGGACAAATCAACGTACAAGAAAGGTATCCCAGGCCCAAAACAGGTAAGGACAGGCCCAGGCAGAGGTAAGAGCTGTAGAGTACAGAAGACACCAGAAACGTGGAGCCTAGGTCTACAAGAACCAGATGGGCCTATAACATCCATAGACTCTATGGACCTGCAATAGCTGCCTCTCACCAGGCAAATGGCACCTTGCGATGTTCCTGCATGACATAGTGATCATCATTCTGGGGCAGAGCTCGCATCAGGCCGAAGTCTCCAATCTTGACCAAGTCACGTGTAGCCAACAGCAGGTTTCGAGCAGCCAAGTCACGGTGAATAAAGCGCTTAGACTCCAGGTAGCCCATGCCTTCAGCCACCTGCACAGCGTAACGGCTCAGAGTCCCAAGGAGGAAGTGACCCTGGTGCTTACGTAGCCGGTCCAACAAGGATCCCAGAGGTGCCAGCTCTGTCACCTGAGACCATAGAGAAGGCAGGAGTTGACATGAGTCCTACCACTCTGAGCCCCTTATAAAGGGTTCCTGTCCCTTCCTGACAGTCTGCCACAGCCATACCTAATTCATTTCCTGAGCTATTCTCTGGGAACCTCCAAGAGGCCTAAGGCTGCTGAGGCAAAGTGGGAAGCTAAGGATCAGAGAGGAGCATCCCAAAAGGCTCGAGCGAGAATTTTTAAAAATTTACCCAGGAGGGCTGGGAAGGTGGCTCAGTGTAGAGCGCTTGCCTTGCATGCATGAGGCCCTGGGTTCGATTCCTCAGCACCACATAAGCAAAAAGAAAAAAGCCGGAAGTGGCACTGTGGCTCAAGTGGTAGAGCGCTAGCCTTGAGCTGAAGAGCTGAGGGACAGCGCCCAGGCCCAGAGTTCAGGTCCCACGACCGGACCCCCCCAAAAAAAAATTTACCCAGGGGATATTTGCCATATCAGTTAGGGAGCACAGCAGGACTTGGAGGGCCCCTGACTTCATCAGCTTGGAGAGGAGGAAGAGTCTACCTTCAGGTTGCTCCCTGCCTCTCTATCCCTTCCTACCCATCGCACTCACCATCTTCATGGGTGGTGTGAGTACCACCCCATAGAGACGAATAAGATTTCTGTGGTCAAGGGAATGCATGGCATTGACCTCCCGGATGAAGTCGTCCATGGCCTCCGGCTGGCTCAGCACATCAGGCTTCAGGCACTTCACAGCCACACTCACCTGCCAGGAGTGGGATTTGCTAGGGGTTAGGACTTGCCTGGCCCCCAACACTGAGCCTACGGGCTCCTCCTTCCAATTTGCCTCTAACATCCTTACCCAGGGAGTTTGAGGCTGCAGGCCTTACTATCTAGATAGGGCTGACCCAGGTCTATGAAGCATATGAAGTCACTTAATTGTGCCCCTTAAGTTATATATGTCACCCCCAAAGGAAGTTTTTTTTTTTTTTAAATGTAATACACCACAGGAAAAGGATAAGACTACGATTAAAAAATGTTATTTCTAGCTGGGCGCTGATGGCTCATGCCTATATCCCTGGCTACTCAGGAGTCTGAGATCTAAGACATGGTTCAAAGCCAGCCTGGACAGGAAAGTCTGTGAGACTCTTAACTATAATTAATCACAAAACTTTAAGTGGAGCTGTGGCTCAAGTGGTAGAGCACTAGCCTTGAGCACAAAAGCTCAGGTACAATGTCCAGGCCCTGAGTTCAAAAAACAACCAAACAACAACAACAACCAAACAACAACAAAAACACAAAAAGTTATATCCAAATTCTGTTTCCTAGCAAAACCCCTGGGGGTGGGAGGGCAGAAGTGCTCACTCTGCTTTACCCAAGTAGTAGGATTATAGGTACTTTCCAAATAGTATCCAGATTTTTATACTAAGTGAATTATTTTTTACTTGAAAATAAAACAAAGTGCTTAAAGCTGAGCATGGATGAGGGTGAGCAATTCTGCAACCCTGCCCCCAGACAGAGGGCAGACGAGCCTCTACCACTCTCAGGGTCTACCCCGCCTCCCCGGTGGCTGCCCCAAGCCGCAGAGCTTACCGTTTTCCCCGCAGGGGCATCCCACTCACCCCTGCGCACCACACCAAATGAGCCATCTCCTAGCTTCTCCAGGAGGCGCAGGTCCTTTTCCCCAATGAGGCAGGTGAGGCTCTGCAGGGCCCCCTCACCTGCTGGGCCACCAGTGGTGGGCAAAGGCTTCTGGAAAGTGCTCTGAGAGTGATGAGGGGGAAACTCAGCCTCCAGCCGCTTTCCACTGAACACCTGTTTGAAGGCAGCCAGGGGCCAGATGGAACTCAGGGCTCCAGAACCAATCCCTCAGTGCAGTCACACCCTACTGGGTCTACCTCGTGGTCCGCAGCTGGGCTCATGTTATCCTGACTTTGCCAAAGTGCCAGAGAAAAGCCTGGTGAGCAGCTCACACTTCTTCCAGAGCTTACCCCAACCAGGAACCACAGCCTCAGTACAGCCTCATGTTGGTGCCAGAAACAGCCTGTGCCTGCAGTACCCTCATATTCAGCTACAGGGACAAACCCAGGCAAAACCCTCTAGGAACCACTTCCCCACCCCCAGACTGGAATCTCCTTCCCATCCTCCATTCCACGTTCCCCTTCCTATACCCGCTATCCAGCCCAGACTCCTGCCCCTAACCCACAAAGGTGGAGTAGGAGACTGAGGGGCCCTCCACAAACACCTTCCTGTCCATTTTTAGCCCTGGCCCCTTCTCTGGTTTTAACCATTTGGCGCTGTCTGTCTCTACCCTCCCTAGGGAGTCGGCTGCCCTTCATCCTGCCCAGGGGAGAGGATAATTTTAGTCTGAGGTTGAAGAGTGAGTGTGAGTATGTGTGTGTGTGTATGTGTGTGTGTGTGTCTGTGTGTCTACGTGGTACAATGAAGCTAGCCCTTGCTGGAGAAGGGCCTGGAAAGACAGCTGGGTTTCTGGAGAGGCGCCTACGGCTGAGGCCTGAGAAAGAAGGAAGACTGGAGGAGTTTCTAAGGCCTGGGCTGATGAAGGAGGGGACCAAAGTCAAAGGGTAGGAAGAAGGGAACCAGGAACTGCAGAATTGACCATAGCAGTGGTCTGGTCACCTCTACCAGGGCACCAAAGCTCCAGCTGCAGACTAGATCCCTACCCCCACCTCCAAAGTCTCCCTAGAAGCTGGCTGAGCCTTATCTACATGCGCAAGGGGGCATTTCAGCCTAAGAACCGCTTCTTGGCTTCTTCTCCTTCCTTCTCACAAGTAACTGGAATGCCTTGTGTTTGCAAGCAATATTTACCTCACAAGGCCTTTCACAGCCATTATTTCAACAACCCTGCAAGGTGAGCTCTAGCACCCTTTACTGAAGAAATGACTAGTTAAGAGAGGGTCACTGGCCATTCAGAGACCCACTGTGAACCAGTGGAAGATCCCACTCACACACTGTTCCTCTCGCCTGACTTCACAGCCTCAACACACTCATCCTTCCCTAGAACCTGGGCTAGAGGCCAGCACTGTGTCCCCAGAAAAGGCCATAGGATCCCAAGAGACAGCCCCCTTGCCAGACTGAATCCAGGAAATCTCTACTGCCCAATCCCAGTCCAGCTGTGCTGCCCTGCTCACCCTCCACCCCACCCGAGGCCAGAAGTGGGGAGGGAGGCCCTGGCTGGCTCACTTCCTCTCCCATTGTCTTCCAGACAATGGGCAAAGTTCCACTGAGTCAGATCAGGGACTCTACACCACAGACCCAAATTTGGACAAGGTGATGAGGGCAGGCTCTGAGGAAGGAAGCTAGGCCCGATGACCAGAGAAACCTACACTAAAGAGAATGGGGGAAGGGAGGAAGCAAGTCAAAGGTGTCTAGACAGTCTCCACCACCACCTAACCCTGGACACTGGCCCAACACTCAAAGGAAGGCGCCCTTGTCAACGAGCCCCAGCTCCCTGTACGCCAAGAGGAGCTGTAAAGACCTCATTGCACACAGGCTGCTCACGTGTCTGTCTCTGGCAGACAGACACTTAGCTGGGCAGCGCAGCTCCATAAGTGCCCTGACTGATAAGACACTGGAGGAGGGAAGTCTATACAAAGTGCAAAGGAACATTGTGAGATTATACCTGTTGGGGAATGGGGGAAGGTTCCTAGGACAGCAGGAAGCCTGTGAGTGCGCACGCGTGCATACATACACACACACACACACACACACACTCTCTCTCTCTCTCTTCCCCCTACCTTGCTCATCCATGACTTGCGTTTGTACATAGCCTTCCTCCTCTTCACAGCCTCCCACAGCCGCCGCTGGCCTGCAAGAAGGAAGGGAATTTAGTGCTGTCAGGCAGTTCATAGCACCTCAAAGAAGCTGCTGGCCACCCAGTGCAATGACACTAACTAAATCTATCTCAACCATCTTCACTGAGCTTCATTCAACCAGACAGTCATTGCATTCCACTTCTACGCAAATGGATGCAAGTGTTTAGGCAACAGTTCAACAGCAGTGGTCAACTACTCCCAACTCTCCAGAAAAATTAAACAGATAAAATTGTCTCAATTTGAATTTTTTTTTCCATAAAAAGGTCTTATGTTACTAGCATAAGGCACTAATTATCCAGGTCAAAAATAGCAAAAGTAGTGTCTAATTTGGCCCATAATGACCATGTTGCTATTTCAAATTGAATATATTGTAAGTTTCTAATGTCTTATAAAGAACATTTAATGTTAATGATGTAAGTAACTGCTTCTGGATGACAGTCACTACTTTTAGGATAAATATAGAGAAGTGAGTCCAACTGAGAATAGAATGTGCATATAAGATGGGTACCAGTGGGCTGGGAAGGTGGCTCAGTGGTAGAGCGTTTGCTTTGCAGGCATGAGGCCCTGGGTTCGATTCCTTGGCACCACATAAGCAAAAAGAAAAAAGCCGGAAGTGGCGCTGTGGCTCAAGTGGTAGAACGCTAACCTTGAGCTGAAGAGCTGAGGGACAGCGCTCAGGCCCAGAGTTCAGGCCCACGACCGGACCCAAAAAAAAAAAAAAAAAAAAAAGATGGGTACCAGTGACTTACACCTGAAATCCTAGTTACTCAAGAGGCTGAGATCTGAGGATCATGGTTCGAATCTAGCCTAGGTAGTAGAAAACTATCCGTGAGACTCTTATCTCCAATTAACCATTCAAAAACTAGAAGTTGCTCTGTGGCTCAAAGTGGTAGAGAGTTATAGCCTTGAGCAAAAGATACTCAAGGGTTAGGCCCTGGGTTCAAGTCCCATGACCACCACCACCAACAATAACAAATGTGCATGCTTTAGCAAATCATCTGAGAGTTTTGTCTTCTGTAAATCTCTGGCACTGACTCCAATGGTATTTAGAGTGATTAACAGAACAGGTTTAATTCCACACTTATAAATATGAGGAGACAGAGAAAATACATCCTATAATTTCTGATCAAGCAAAATGGGTAGGTAGCCACAGCTTTAAAATAGACTCCATTCTCCTCAAATTCCAATTCACCTTTACAAATACGAACTGTTCGCAATATGCCCATTAGCAGCATCCACTGTGTCTTCCTGACTCACTCAGGGGCTCTAGGATACTCAGGCTGCTACCCCAGAGAATCACAGGCCCAGGAAGGGATTCTTCTATGTGTTGGGCCACCTGAGCATACGAAGTAATCGGTCAGAGGCAAAAAGACAAGCAAAGCCCATGCCCCACCTACCAGGCCGGCCCATGCCGATCTTTTCCAGGTCCTCGTTCTTGACATACTCAAAATGGGATAGGCGAGTAACATTGAGGTCATCGCGGAGCCGCAGGAAGTACTGCTGTAGTTGCACTTCAGACAGAAGTTCCAGCAGCCAGCCTGTGCCCTCCTCTGGCTGCATGCTGCTGCTTCCCAGCCTCTGTAGGGAGGAAGAGAGGCTGAGGGACCAAGGGATACAGGGAGGTGGCAGGGTGAGCTGGCCCTCAGCTCACCCACACCTACCCTACAGCTTCCTGAAAGGACTCAAAATGCTGCTTGGTCCCCAAAAACAACTGTGTCCACTTCCCCCTATTCTTACACCAGCAAAAAGGGTAGACTTAGGGCGGCTGAGATCTAGCCTTGGTGCCAGAAAAATCAGGAGTCAGGTTCTTACTCCCAAATCTGTGATCTACAATTGAATGATCTGATATTAACCTCATGCTTGCGTTTCTCATCTGCTCTTAAAGGCTCCAGGAGTCACAAGCCCTTTAAAAACTGAATTTAGGCCAGGTACCAGTGGTTCACACCTGTAATACCAGCTACTCAGGGGGCTAAGATCTGAAGATTGCAGTTCGAAGCCAGCCTGGGCGGGAAAATTCATGTGACTCTTATCTCCAATAAACTACCAAAAAAGGCCGGGCGCCGGTGGCTCACGCCTGTAATCCTAGCTACTCAGGAGGCTGAGATCTGAGGATCGCGGTTCAAAGCCAGCCTGGGCAGGAAAGTCCGTGAAACTCTTATCTCCAATAAACCACTAGAAAACCGGAAGTGGCGCTGTAGCTCAAGTGGTAGAGTGCTAGCCTTGAGCTAAAGAGCTGAGGGGCAGTGCTCAGGCCCAGAGTTCAAGCCCCACAACCAAAAAAAAAAAAAAACTACCAAAAAAGCTGGAAGTGGACCTGAGGCTCAAGTGGTAGAGGGCTAGCCTTGAGAAAAAAGCAGCTCAGGGATAGTGTTGAGGCCTTGAATTCAAGCTCTAGAATCACACACATACACACACACACACATGTGCCCTCCCGCCCCCAAATTGAATTTAAAACTATCAATTATCTCTCTAGAAAATGTACATGCTCTTACTTCCAAACTGTTAAATAGAAACCTGGTGGTGGAGGGGGTGGTTGGTGTCTTGGAAACCCATCTAAGACAGGGTTCCTCACATCATAGAGACCTCATAGAAAGACGGAAGTCAAGCTCCTCCCAGTGCCTGAAATCACAAGAGCCTTTCCTACTCAAAAGGCCATGCTATTACCACCCAGGTACCTTCAGGGCTACAAGTATAAAGGAGAGAGGGAGGGGCGTGGACCCAAGCTGGCTTTCAAACCCCACTATCAATGGGTACCTCACTTGTTGATAGTTGTCACAAGAGATTATGGCTCAGTGTTATCAGTGCTTGCTATTTTTTCTATACCAAACATCTAAATTCATGCAAAATTTTGCCATTAATTTTTAAAATGATATATGTATATGTTAAAATATTCAAAAGGTACATAGAAGTCTTATTCCTCCTTCTGTATAACATCTCTGAAGCCAGCTGTTAATAATGTCATTTATGTGCCCTTTGAGACTTTGTTTTTAACCCCACAAATAGTACACATTACCCATAGTACCCTGCTTCTCATTTTCATCTTTCTCCTGCTATCAACAAATTCCAGTTTGAAATACACAGAGAGGGTGACTTTGATCAAGACACTCTGAATGCAGCAAGGACTTGTGAAAATAAAACCCCCTTGTCTAACTAATTCTTTTTGTTTGTTTTGTTTTGGGTTTTCGGGTTTTTTGGGGGTTTTTTGTGCCAGTACTAGGACTTCAAATCAGGGTCTTGAGCTTTCTTTTGACTCTTTTTGCTAATAGCTGGAGCTCTACCACTTGAGCCATACCTTCACTTCTAGCTTTCTGCTGATCTTGTGTCTCTACAATAATTCTCTCTCAGATTGCCTGCCTGTACTCACTTTGAACCTCAATCCTCAGGTCTTAGCATCCTGAGTAGCTAGGATTGCAGGTATGACCTACCAGCACATAGTTTAATGCTAGTTTTTAAAAGGACACACACACACACACACACACACACACACACACACACACACACTGTGCTGGCAAAACAAAACACTTCTGTAGACCACAATCAGCCAATGGGTATCAGTGAATGACCTCTAGCCTACACTCTCATGGGTCTAGTAGTACTTTCAAAGCTAAGCAGACAAACCTATCAGACATCAAACCTATCCCCATCCAAGTTAGACATCTCACATCTGAGGCTTGGTCAGACACTTCTGACCCTGCCTTTATTTCCAACGAGGAAGACCAATGTTGGGGAAAAGCCAGCTATTAGGTTATGGGCCAAGTGACTCCTTCTCCACCTAAATATGGCCTCATCCTCAACTCTCAACAGTTTAAGATGTACTAAAAGGAATGGGCACCAACAGCACAGGCACAACACATGTTCCCAGTGGTGGCCAACACAGTGCCAGGAGCTCAGAGTTTACAGTCAGCTCAAGGCAATACAGAGAGTGACAAATGGGAACAAGAAGCCCTCCATTTGCCCCCAAGCGTTAGGCCAGGCAGTTGGGCCTGCTGCCCAACTTCATTTGGGTTACATAAGGGCTGCATATCCCACTATGGAAGTTTTGGTTGTTGCAATGTATGCGGGAGCATTAATCACACTGAATGGGTGACTGGAGGAAAACAACATGAGCTATCCTGCAATCCACAGGACAGTCTCAACCACTATCCCAAATACAACCCAACTTAATGTAGGTGACAAATTTGTTTGTAATCATCCAAACCTAGATTCAATTTCCATTTCACATATGAACAACAAAATATTTTTGTAGTTTCAATATAAACTGAATTTTCCTGGAAAAGAACTATGTGTATACATTGGAGAGAAACTAGACTTTGTTTTAGAACACAGCACAAGTCTACTATTTGGATGATTGTCAATGAAGGCAATCTACCCTTATCTGAAAACATCCCTTGAAGATGGTGCCATTAGCATCTGAGGCTTTAGCATCTCACTACTTTCATATGGTATCCAATGTCCTAACACACCACAACCTCTTTTATTTCTCCAGTTGGCATTGCAATGGCTTTTTGACTATACACAGTTAATATGGACATTCCTATTAATTTTACTTGTGAAACAGTAGAGAAAATAGAATACTTCAAAACTGTAGTTACTCTATGCCAGTTCTAAATATTCCCTGCATTCCCTTACTTAACCTAAAAAAAAAAAAAAAAAAAAAAAATTGAGGCAAAGAAGGGGGACCACTGCTTTTCAGAATAAAATCCAAAGGTGCACTATGAAAACCACTGGCCATGGGGCAGCTCCTCCCCTCAGCCCAGCCAGGAGGAGCCAGCCAGCATTCCCTCCATTTCTGCCTTGCCCCGGGACAGTGACCCCACTAGCTACATATGGCTCCACTTCCAGATGGGCCCAAGCAGTCTACGGGTCTTCTCCTCAACCCCACCCCCCAAATCCCTGGGTTTCAGGTGCCATTTTTGTCCTCCTGTGGGCTCTAGAAAGCAGCTTAAAGCTATGTAGGCCCTGGATGGTCAAGGCTAGGAAAACCCAGAGGCCCCTCCCCTGGAGCTACTTAGAAAGCACAGCACACAAGCTAACAAAACACGCTGCTCAGGGTATGTGTGGGAAGACTGGGAAGAACACTGGTCTCCTGGTGAGGAGAAAGGAGTCAGGGTTCCAGTCCTGCCTGTACTGCTAAGCCAGGGAGGCCCCAGACAGACCACCTCTCCTCCAGCTCCAATTTCTTTGTCCACAAAGTACACAGCATTGCTGCAGCTTCCACCAGCTCACTCAGTCAGTCGCCAATTCAGTATGTGCCTGAACCCCAGCACAGCATGGTGTGAGTACCTGTGTTCGACCATGTGACTCTGTGGCTAGTGTGGACACACACACGCATAACCTGGCTCCTGCAGCTCCTGCATACACCTTCCTAACACACATGGTCAAGAATGAATAAAGCAGCTGGAAAGGAAAGGCCAGTCAGCCCACACTACTCAGTCAAGCCCTCAAGGGAAGAGTTTCTCAGCCATCCCCAGTCCAGCTCGGCCCCTCACTAAAATATGGGGGCTGAGGGGCTGACCCAGTCCCCCACTCCACACTCACTGTGTACAAACGTCGCCGCAGTCTGGCCAGGAGAGGGAAGGAGAGCTCTAAGCCAGGGAACCGACGCGCTACCGGCATCTCCACAGAACCAAACCTCTGAGCAGGTCACTGTGGCTATGGCCTACTAAGTGACAAGCAAGAGCCTCAGCTCCCGAGTTTTCTGCTCTGCCCGAAGGCCAGTTAGCTTGGGGGCTGTCCCAGGAGTCTCCAAATCCCACACTGGTGTGGAAAATAGGGCAGAAGAATGGGTGGTCTCCTTTGCTCTGTGGCAAGGCTGGCTAGATTTTCACAGCTGGCTACAGCGTCAGTCTTCCGTCCTGTTTCTGTCTTCTCTCCAGTGCAGTGGTCACAACTCTAGCCCTACTCCTGGGCTCCCCCACCCGACTGGACTGCTCGCTGGCCCGCCCTCCCTTCTTCCCTCTGTCCCTCCCTCCCCAGCTGAGCAGCTCTGACACTGGATGAAAAAGGACCTTTCTGAATCACTGCCAAGAGGACGGCAGAAATGGGGGGGACTCTTCCTCCCAGTCACCCTTACTGGCCCCCCTGCTTTCCCATACACAAAGCCTCCTGTCTGTGGCTTCTACTGCAGCTCTCAACAGTTGCAGACAACTCCTGGGATTTTAGGGTTGTGGCTATGAATCCAACAGCAAGCAGCCAAAGGGGCTACAGGTCCCTATATGAGCTTGTCTGGGGCTATGGTGGCTAGAATACAGCCTGAATTGGGACTTGGACACCAGAGTATTTCCTGGACCCTGCAGACAGATCCTTCAGGGGCCTTCCCCCACCCCAAGTCCCAGCCTTGGCTGGGCGTCTCCTGGCTCAGACCCTAATGTGGCCCTGTTACCCTGGTGCCCGACGGAAATAGGAAGTCGGCGGCCTGCCAGAGTGGGGCAGTCCAGCCAAGAGCCGGGATGGGGGGATGAGATTCTCCACCTTCTCCCCTGGGATTGCTTGTGTACTGTCCACAAAATCCAGGGTGCCTTCTCCCCAGATTAGCTGGCAAAAGTCCAAGGCTTTCTTTTTTTTTTTTCTTCAAGGCT